ATAAGTAAATTGGAAGCAAAAAAGTGAGTAGATTCCTCGACTACCAGACATTCAATCATATATACGTGGAAGATTTTCAAGAAATACTGCAAAGTTCAAGGAACAATGGGAGGATGTTAAGGTATAAAGACAACAGTTGATCTGAAGCAAAACCATTTATTCGACGTACATGAGTATATATGGATATAAACATGGATAGAGAAATTAAACAAGATGTTTGTGATTGAAAAAGCTCATAAAGAATTTTGAAGTATGTAATTTAGTTATTTCATATACAGTGGTCACAGGGGAATCTTGACTCACAACACCACCTGTTTTGACCACCCGTTCAGTCGTTCTTCCGGTTGTACACATTGAATATGCTCCAGTTGGCACAGGTGTTCATTTAATTCGAATGGAATTGGTTAAACTATCTCTTTGAATTTATGATGATATAATCGGCAGAGAAAATGTGAATTGGATCTCGATCATACATAAAAAAACATTTCTTATTAATGTAACTTAAATATGGAATATAAAAATTTTAATGTATTGGTCGTGCTGTGATTTTATTGAAGCATCGAAAATGAATTCATTTAGAATAGTTTGAAGAAAAATCTAAAAATTAATTAATGAAATTGACCCAATTAAAATGATGTGAAAGGAAATAAAAATATCGATGAACAATAATCGCAGCTAGGTAAAATTTGAAGAATAATATATTGACAAATTCTATTCTGATTTTTTAAGAAATTTTTAAAACCAGAATTTTTTCATCTTATGTATGCATCAATAAAGTTGTACCTACTTAATATATAATGTTCTGTAAAACTGATTCAAACCATCAAACAAAATGGTCATAGATTAAAACTAAGTGGAATGACTTCTTTTGTTTTCACGATATACTGTTGTACTGTAGAAGAGATTCTCGCAATTTTGTTTCATCTTACACAGCAAGTTTGCTTGAGTAATGACAAGTCATTGTTGCAATTAAATTTTTTAATATAAAAAATAAGTAGGACCAAAGACTACAATTTCTAATAGAGTAATAACTTAATAATTCCTACACGGGAAGAATTTTTTTACAAAATGTAAATTCAAAAATGACAAGTGCACGTTTTCAAACTTTGAAGTCAAAATCTTACTGTTCAACAGTGAATTTTAGGTTGTCGTAAGTAAATTTCGAGTTATTCTCAGTAATTCTTTTATTTAAACATCTTTTAAGTCTCATGTTTACTTACAAGAATTTGAATTTTATTGTCGAAGAGAAATATTTTTCCTTCTAAATTTCGACACGTGGACTTGTCACTTTTTGCACTTCCATTTAGTGAAAAAATTCTTTCTGTGTATTTGTAATCAGGTACGTTTAATTTACTGTGTATTTACTCCTATTTTTCAAAGTCTTTTCGATCGATTAATTCAAAATATCAGCAGATAAAGTAATCTTTCGTAAAAATTTTAGTATAATTAAATAAAAATAAGTAATAAAGTACATTATTATAGTACATAAAAATTTTCGTATACACTCGGGAAGATTAAATATAGCATTAACTCTAAGTATAAAAATAAAATTCTCAGTACATTCATATTGGTATTATTCTAATTTCAAATTAGTAAAAGACAGTCACAATGTAACAAAAAATATTTCACATTTTGATTCGAGCTATTACAAAAATGGTTGTAATTAAGGATATGACTATTTCAAAAAGTTTTCTTACGGTAAATAATGCACGCTAAAAAAGAAATCAGTACTGTAAAGTTTATCCTTTTTTTTCTTATCATCTTCTAACGTTCTACGCTTTTTAAAAAAAATATTTATCAATATCAATATAATTCATTTTTCCACGCAAGCTTATGACGTTCTTCGTATTTATCCAAATCTGAAAAAAGACCAAGAACAGTGTACCGAAAAAGACGTCACGTCACTTCGTCACTATTTATTGTTGATATATCTAAAAATCCAGAATTCACTTACAAAAAGATGTCGTGTATCAGTTCTGTTTTTTTACTATCGATGGCAAGAAGGAAGCCCTTGAATATCAATGAATTATAAACGACAATTGTTAAAACTGCAATAATTTTATCGTGCGCTAACACGAAATAGTTCTGTTAAAACCAACTCTAAACTTTTTATTATGTCTGATTAAGCTGATTTATGAAAATTCAAAACGGAAAAAATTTACAACAATTTATGTATTTTTGTTATTATTCAACAGTATTCTATAAGAATTTACGGGTGTGTCTTTCCAGTAGTGTTCTACTAATCTTGTATTCTAAAGATTCTTTGAAGCATTACTCCATGATAACCTGAATGACTATACGACACGTAAAACATGTGTGAAAAAATGACCAGAATTCTTATTTTACGCTGAATTACAGACATTCATGATTGATGGGAAGTTACTAAAATTTTGTAAACAAGAATCGTCCAATCATATCCACGTTAATAAATGTAAAATGATAATTCTCTTTCTTATGTAATTTTGAAAATAAAGTTGACTGTAGAGTTTATTAAAATATTATTGAACATGAATAATGTTCGATAGAATTTCGGAAACATTTTAGATTACATGCAAGAGTTTGGAAAACATTTTTTTACTTTGTAAACCCCTTACTCATGTATTGTTTGACATTTTGCAGTATAAAATGTCATTTTTTAAGATATTTTTTCTGTGAAATTGAAGTTGGAAAATTATTGTAATCCGACCGATTTTGCAAACCTTGAATTTTAACAAGCTCCACGTTCCAAGGTCCCTACACTGAAACAAGGATTTAATTATAATTAACATGTTATGTTTATAGTTAAAATTTTATATTAACTATATATAAATCTTACATTAATTGAACATGATTTTTTTTAGTGTAAAGTTGAATACAGCAGTTTTTAAGTGGATGTCTATGTGTGTATGTTCGTAGGTACGTTCGGAATAATTTTTCGTATAATTACGCAACCTTGAACTGATCAGGTTTCTAACAAAGTCAGTCTGGCTATTTTTTGAGCATAGTATAAAAAACTCAAAAAAATGGCAAACTAGCTGCATTTTTTAATTTAAGCTAAACTTTCACGCCTCAAATATTGACAATAATTATCATGAATATAATGATAATTGCTATGGCAATTAATTAATTTTAAAAGAAAATAAATCTTTTCATCTCTTAACTGAGAAGTTAGTTGTGTAAGCCTTTTGGGTCGCCTTCAAATCACTGAAGAAAGCTAATATTTGAATTTTCTTAGATTTAAAAGAGATTTATAAATCTGTAGATGTTACATGTTTGTAAAGTAGATCTTCTGAAAGAAAAAAACATTTCTACTGCAGTACTTTAGTTTTCGAAAATCTGCAATTAAAAAAAAAGTATTTCACTAAATAACAAATTGGTATTATGTAAGTAAAAGTACTCTTTGGGATTGAATTTACACAATCATCTTTCTACAGTATGATAGGAATGCTTAATAATTTCTTTACCATCATTTAGAGATTATCGAGTTTATAAATATTATGTTATACACATATTTCATTAAATTTTTATACGACAAGTGTGTTTGAAAAAAAAGATTTTTTATCATGTGAACTTGAAGTTTTCATTCTTTTATATGTAAGCACTAAAGTAGTTGAATTTTTTAAAAATTATACCCTTTATCGCTAGTAGATATTAGTAGACACTCATTTTTTATTTAATGGATTGATTTCCTCTCCTTTTTTCTCGATCTCAGAAGAAAAATTTTCTCTGATTCTGTAAAAAATTAATAGTTCAGTAGCATAGAGGAATTTACAATCCTGTATTAATTTTTATTTGACAGAAAATAGTTGAGTTCTTTTCGAATTATTGATAGTGAATGCAATTTTACATGTTTCTTAGTGTAGGTAAAATACATGTTGCTTTGAATCTGTTTTTCGTTCCATTCCCTGGTTGTGAAATACAAAAAATTCGAATTTTACTATAAGAAACTCTTTTTTATTAGTAACATGAAATTTTTTAGCCATCGATATTGATCGATACTTGTCAATTTCAAACATTTAGGAATTAATCTCTATGTACATCTACAATTGGTTTGGATATTAATAAAATAGTGCTTTTTATTCCATCGCAATTCTTATCAATTGATAATTAATAATTTTGAATTTGTCTCATATGACATGTTAAACATTTATGAAACGTATACATCAAATACATGTGACTTTGATGTATCTCAAAAAATCGCCCACTATTTGTGGCAATGAAAAATTTAAATTGATGAGAAATCGTCGATAATTATCGTGATTAAAGTTTTGTAGAGACAAAAATAATTTCTGGTCATTTTTTGAAAATTAATTAAAATTCACTTGTGGTTCATATGTACGGATTTCTCGCGATAAATCATGGTTATGTTGAACAATATTATCAAATTTTTATATCAATAAATACCAATGTAAGTGAGAATTTATAAGACAGGATTTTTTGTTATTAAGATAAATTCGTTTGGCTTGCTGATTTCAAATTAGTTTTATGTGTAGAAATTGGTAACATATGTTGGAATTTTTATTCATGTACTATTTAAACGTAAGTTATAATATACCAACGAGCGTTTATAAAATGTTTAGATTTTTTATTTTAGCTCTATGTGGTTTTTAAATTTTTCATTTCAATAAGTTTCAGTTGTAGGTAACGTAAAGCATCGATTATACTTATTCCAGTTCAAATCATTTTCGATCAGAAGATACTATGATCACTTTTTTGAGTAGGCGTTAACGAGTTTATTCAATTGGCTGATCGGCAGAAAGGATTTTGTAGGCGGGATTAATGCGCATAATACTTGCGCAAATTCTCAGCATATTCTCTGATAATATGTGTGTAGATGTATGTATGTTACAATACCTTTCACTCTACTACACACGACTTTTAAGATGCTTCAGAGAATTGGTGAGGGCAAGGTTGCAGTATAATCTTCATATGTGTTTTAAGTATCTTAAATCTTGATTTTTTACTGTCGAGGTAGGGATAGGAAAATTTGAGGTGGCGTCTAGTTGTTGGTTAGCGTTCAATCCGTTCGAATGAAAAATATGTCAGAGTTTGATCATAAATCCATTAAAAAATAACGGTAGATACATATTTCAATATCTAAAAATAAATATTATAAAGACAATCTAATAACAGACTCAAACAAATAGTGGAGCAATGTAAATTTATATAAAATACTTAGACTGTTGTGTAAACACCATAGAAGTTATGTTATTGTGATGTGGAAATGTTGTCATAGCGAAAATCGTGGAATGTATTTATGAGAATTATTTTTGATTAATTTGAAAATTATAGAATATAGGTAGAGGAGTAAACTCTGAATGAAATGATTGGTGATACCATTATAACGCCACCTAATACTAATAAACCTGTGATTATTATAAATGAAATGATTATAAATGAAAATTTTGTCAGTGCTAGTACTTCTGATAATACTACATATAATTCAAAATCTTTGATCGATACATCGGATTCATGTAATAACAACAACCATAACAACAAAAGTAATAATGGTAATAATAATAAAAATGACAACAGTTCCAAGATGATGATTGACGATAACACTGAAACCAACATTAATAATAATGTGACTATTTCTTCCTCGATTTGTCATTTCAAATCTATTGAATCCACTCCTACTATCTTCAATACTGCGGATAGTAAATACGAAAATTTTTTTAACAATAATGACATGGGTGATGAACGAAGCTTTTTGAATAAAAATGAAAAAAGTGAAAAAGACAGCGGTGTTGATACTAACGATAACAATAATGACGACGTAAATAACGGTCAACAAAAAAAAGTTGAAAGCAATTCCGGTGAAAATAAAGTGAATAATAAATGTGATTTTCTTCACGCATCTTCCATAACTAGTTCAAAAAAATCAGTAGCAAGACCATGGGAATTGCCTTCTCTGATATCTGATCAATCAAAATCACGGTTGATTCCATTTCATTCAAATCATTTTCATCAATCATCGATTCCATCTACTTCACCTTTATCAATAAATAAAGGTAAGTTACCAATACTAGAATTTTCTACTCAGATTTATCTTTTCATTTTTCTTAAATTATGCCTAAAAATTAATTTTAACTTCTGTTGTCATTATACATCTGGCATTCAATACGCAAATGAATACGTATAGTACTATCAACAGACGATTTCAGCCTATACTTATCAACGTAAATTTAAAGATGCTAGTAATTGAAAAATAACGAATTACATCGATCACAATAAGCATGATCCCTTATTACATTACAATATCAAATATGAGTTCCTTAAGTGAAGCTTTTTCAAAAAATATCAGAAGTACATAGAAACGGGGTGATTTGTCCAAATTTTGGATTCACGGAATCAGACTCATTAGAATAACTTCCCGCTAGGAAGCTTAATATACTAAAGGTAACTTCAAATCCAAATACGATACTCATCATCAATGGGCATCATGAAAAACAAAGATTACTCATTCAATTTTACTTTCACAGACTCATTTCAATTAAGAATTCAATAATTTCGTATGTGTATGAATATGAACAGAAATCTGATCACAGTTTATAATTACTATGATTTTTAGCGTATTTTGGAAAATTAGGTGCTTATACAGTAGGAGTTTTATTTATTTAACAGATATTATTGAAATATCGTAATTTGAAACTCACTCTCCCCGAATGACTTAGATCATACTACTCAATTTTGTTCTCAATGTTTTCATTCAGATTAGATTGAATTTTTCATTTCTCTTATTAACTTTTCAGTAAGAAGTTATTGTAATGGGTCTGATATATGATGCCCATTGACGATGAGTCTCATATTGGAATTCAAAGTTACCTGTAGTATATTGATCTTTCCAGTGGGAAGTTATTCTAATAAGACATTTTCTATGAAGAATCAAAAAAATGGAAGAAATGGTAAACTAACAAAATTGTATCATTCTCTCCACTGGACAGTTAATAGTGTGGACTTTTTGGGTCACACCCAAATCACTGGAGAGCACAAAAATTTTACATTATGTATAGTATTTATTAAAAATTCAATTTTACCATAAGTCAGAATTTTTTTTACTATATTTGTTTTGTGGTTCTGATGACTTTTGTCAACCGATTTTAAAAGGCTTCTTCCCTTCGGGAAAGAAACGCATGACCTGTAAAAGCCCACTTTCCTTTAATGCGTACATGATTTTTTGTGATATTTGTGCAAAAAGTGTGTGACTCAATTGACTAATTACATTCGTTTATGCAAATTGTAGCAGTAAGTGGTTAAAAAAATTTTTTAAAATATAAATTTTCGTACACATGCGCTACGTTCTTGACGCATGCATCGTAACACGAGTCTAGCTCGAACAGAAGTATCGCGTTTAAAATTGCTAGATTCACGTCTAAACATTTCGTACAATCCGTAAGGTGATATATTTAGTGAAAAATTAAATGAGTTGTATAATTTATCATGAGTGGTCCAGGAAATTTTGGATTTATATAGGCGTATGCATGGGCATAATTTTGGACTACGGAATTGGAGGGTTCTCTCCGATAGTGGACTTCGGCCCCACCGTTTAATGACAAAGAAAAATTCCGCTGCAAGTACACTGTACCAAGTTATAAAAAATTTCCAAGTCAAAAAAAAATTGCAGCGGTATGGAAGCCGTGGTCTCCCTAGCTGAATCTGTAATAGCACATTTCGCACCTAGGGAGGAAAAGTAGACTAGCTCAAATCACGTGTAAAATTACAACTCGAGCCGAAGGCGAGTTTAGTGAATACGTGGTTGAAGCTAGTCTTATTGTCTTCCCTAGGGCTGAATATTATTTTTCGTCATACCTGTGTGGAAAGTTCAACCCCTCTCCAATGGAAAAGTGAACTTTCTGCGCGGATATGACAAAAAAGTTTTTTTTCCTTGGAGTCTTTGTTTTAACTACTTTTATACTCTTAAATAAATTTATTTTCATATTTTCTACCCTTTCTCTGTTAAACAAGTATTGCTAAATAATAATTCAATCTGGAAATGTATTTTTGCAGAGTGTTTGAACGTGAATCAAGCAATGTTGAATGCAACGCACATGTGTTTAAGTCAGACGCATATTATGATAAATGCGTCAGAAATGTTGCACATGCGCACAAAAATCAATTTTGTTTCCGTATGCATGAAAAAGCCGTACTTTAATTCACTGACAAAGAAAGAGGAAATCAAACTTTCCGCGATGATGTGACGAAAAATCAATTCAAACATAGGATTTAATCTGATCGAAGTAGATTAATTTTTTACGATAAGAATCGATAGAAATTATCTTTATTCGTTACAACAAACTGTTATCAGTGCCATATAATTATAAAGCTTTATATATTATCATTGAAACCATTTATTTCATATGGATCTGATACATTATCAATACCTATCAGTCAATCAGTCGAATCTGTTTTTGCTTATTCCTAATAAATTTTTATTGTGATGAAAAATCTGCAATTCCTACCAAATTTTCATGAGTCATTTAAAGAAAACTTGTCTTTTTTTCAGGAGCCAAATATTCATACTACATTTTCATATCGATTTTGCACTCAAATTAATGCATGTACACTGAAAAAAGTCAAGTAGTATTAACTAAAAATTAGTTAGTTCAACTATAACTAAAAGCTAGATACAGCAAACTAATGTTCCTAGGAAAAAAACTAATTAGTCTCAAAAGACATCCTCACCATCGTATTCTGGATTAAAGTCGCTTTCCATCGCTCTTTCGATATCGTCCTGTTCATAATCTGAACCATCTACTAATCTTATTCTTTTTGCCGGTGGTAAAAATTTCTCTTCTTGAGATGATGTGAAACATGGTGAATCAATTTCTTCAATTGTTATGCCTTTCTCCAAGTTTCCTTTCACTACTCCCGGATATACTTTTTTAATGTCAAGAAGGAATTGCATGATTTGGGAATCCAGGTCTCCCTTATACTTATCTGAATATGTCTTTCTATAGAAATAGAGAGCCATATATTGGTGTAAAAGTTTTGGGGTTCTACGACATTTAATAGATTCTTTTAACAATCTATTTTGGTTCTCCAAATCATTAATGGTATTTGCCGGATTTGATTTATCAACATATTCACCGATACTATGATTTGTTCTCAAATGAACAGTACTTTGAGCGAATATTCGTTCAACTCGTTAATACTGTTTTGCGCTGTCTGTACATATTCGGGATGTTGATGAATCTACATACTTTTGTATGTACGGCCACAATTCCTTCTTTCTTTTTCCATTTACTTTAAAAAATAACCCAACTTTGTCTTCCTTGCAATGTAAACCAAGAATGATTGTTGTCATTTGCTCGGTAACATGGCCCCGATTGTATTTTCTTTTAGTCAAAAACGTTTCATCGATTTGGACCGTCTTACCTTCGCCACCAAGTACCAAATCACTGTGTGATGCGATTACTTCAGCTATTTCTCGGCAATAGCTGAAGTAATCAATTACAGTATTCCAACTAAGTTCGGGGCAATCTCGATGATTACGCCAAGCTTTGAGATGATTGTACACATCAGTGACTTGCATCTGAATCGCGAAACAAATGACGATTGCAAGTACATCGCGCACTTCAATGCGACACGTATTTCCTTCAAAAAACGTACCAGACGCTAGGTTGATAATCTTTCGGCACGATTTATCTCTTTTCTTCTTTGATCCTTTTGAAAAACCCCTCCATACTCATTTGAGTTTTTTGTCTCCAAAATCCTCAAAGAGCGTTGGGAAATTACAACCTGTCAGTGTTGTCGATTGACAAGACGGAATTAAACCGATTTCCTCGAGAAAAGAAATTGCTAATTATTTCGCCGCTAGAGATTTTTAGTAGATCTACTTTAATTAATTTTTCCGCCAAAAGAATTCGTGACGTCGTCCGAAATATTAATTTTTTCTGTTAGATGGCGTAAGAATCTTATTATATTATAGATAGTGGCAGCGTGGGGGCAACAGCATCCCGAGCCATCACAAATTAAAATAATAATTATTATTATTATATCATCTGTTGTATAATATGAAAAAATTAAAAAAAAATATGTCAAAAAATTGTTTTCAACACTTATTTATTCATGTTTATTGAAAAATACGAAAAAATTCTATTCTTTCCATTGCTACAAATGATTAATAATGTGAAATTATTAAGATATCCTATAAAATTCGTGTTTCGAAATTCGGAACTTTGAACCTCGAAACCTCGAAAACGAAGCGAGATATCGAAAAATTTTATTCCTCATTTTCAACTTATTTTTGGTCGATCTATCTAAAAACATCCTCAAATGGCGGCGCTACGGGAACCGTAGTCATGCCAACAATCTAATGGAATCTGTCAGAATACTATTGAAACTCATAACCATTTCATGAGAATTTATAAGTTCTACCGGAAGGTAGCGCGGTTCTCATAAAAAGATTATAAGAACGAACCAGTACTTACAGGTGGTAAAAAAATTTAAAACTATGATACGAGAATGATGGAGAATGGATAGGACAACCCTATACGTCCTAATGAGAACAAATAGGAAAATAATGTATTTCTATTTCACGATTTAGTCTTACCAGAATGAACAAGAAGCGGTGTATAAGTCTCAATACGAATATATGGAACAATGTAATCTTTCAATTCATTTTCAAATCTTATGAGAATTATCTGGGATTATTGTGTGAATTACTACCTTTGTAGAATAAACTGACAAAAACTCATAATTTTCGACAATTTCTGAAACACAATTTATAAGAATGAATAAGATCGTGTCGGGTCTATTGGAAGACAAAAAATGCTCTTAGAACTTATAACTACTTAATAAGAATTAATCAGAATTGATAAGAGTGAAACAACTTTTGGTTGATTTTATAAGTATATGTAAGAATAAATAGGGACAACAAACAAGTTTTAATAAGACATTATCGGTAAATAATATTTGTTTATTTCTGAATAAGTTTCACAAGAATGTATCAGCAAGATATTACAAGATGCAATAAGAATCAATTGGTAAAAGTAATAACTTTTTTTCCTAT